TTCCCAGTGAAATGGTCTTTTGTTGTGGTGATGGTTCAAAGGTTACCAGGGCTCTTTTTTCTTTTTCAGATTACTTAGTCCCTCTGAATTCTGAGTCAGACAAGCACTTCTGAGATTTTGAAAAAAATTTCTTTGCATACTCAACCATGATTTCGAAAAAGAAACAGTAGCTTTGCTTCGATGAGGAAAACCAGAGGGCCACACAAAGGCCAGTCCTTGTTACCCATTTCTCCTGGCCCCACACCTCTAACTTCCCACCTCCCAACTCCCCCAAAAAGTCAAAATTAAAAAGTACATCTGCTCCTTTGAGAGCAAGGCCTTAGCAGAGCCCTCTATCATTTGCCACAGCAAGTAAGCCTTTTTCAGATTAGGAGCTGTTACACTGGGAAGTAACAGTGACTGATCTAGAAGCATAAAACATAAGAAAAACAGTGTTTTATTATTTTAGGTAGAAAAAAACAGAGCATTCACATATCCTAGATAGAGAGAAACCAAGGTCTTATGTTTCTCAAGATGGGGGTAGTTGGAAAAGTGCAGAGCAAAAAGGATGACTCTAAGAGAGACAACTTCGTTTTTTTATTCTAGACCAGTTTTTAGTACTGCTGTGACCCATGGGCACTTAATTTGCTTATTCATGATTTGTCCAGCCACTGGCCTCATTTAAATGCATGCATTAGTGTCGCTTCTTAGCCATCCTGGAACTATAGTGGACATTTAGGTAGATTAGACTTGTCTGAACTTCAGAAATTCATGCTTAATTTTCTGCCACAAAAATAGTGAAAAGTCTTAAAATAATTCTGCATGTATACGTGTATGTGTGTGTGTGTGTGTGTTGGGATAGAATCAGAAAAAGAGAGAGCCACAAAACTTGTAACATCTGATTTTCTGAGACTAAAATACATCTTGGTGGTTCCTGCCCTCCTGGATGTCAAATGACTAGCTAAATGGGTAGCTTGCTTTAAATTTTATTCCACTTAAAAAAATTTAGCAGTGACATCTACCCACCCTCCCCACATGTATTATTGTTAAGAATGAAGCACATTCTACCCATGTTCTTCAACAGAAGTTTTTAGGTAACACTCTTCAGGCATTCAGCTGGAGTGGGCACTCGTTACTAAGGTTTAAGAAAACATGAAAACCACAAAGAATGTTCACAATTATTTTCTCTTGGTTGGCAGAACAGATGCCTTTCTTCAAGGAAAATGCTTTAGGCCAACACAAAGCCATATTCATTAAAAATATATTATTTAGTAATTGTGCAGACTCCGGATTATATAAAATTTATTTTCACTTCAAGGATCCTAGTTTATCAGAAAAATAGTGCAGGTAGAATGTGTTAAAAGAAATCAACTATGCCAAGGGCAAGCAGCGGTTTAAGAAACAACAATGCAAGTACATTGAAAGGAAACCAGGCAATGTGGACGTGATTTTGTCTGGGGGTCATGGCTGGCTTTATTTGTAAGGGGATTGTCAAATCAATCTGTAAAATGTGGATGAGGTAAAATGCAGAGATAGAGTTTTATTCTAGATCATCTGTGACTTTTCAAATACAACTTTTATGCTGAAATTCCAGGTTGCATGTAAGCGACTCCAATAAAGAAACCTGTCAGTCAGTCAAGAGTGTTTATTTATTATTCCCCCTGGGCCAGGCACTGTTCTAGCCAATATGAAATGATACAAAATAAAAAGTGGTCATCATTTTCATAATCTTGTGAGAGCAAATGGATTTAATTTGCAGACTGACTCTCTCTCCTTCTCTCTCTCTCTGTGGGTGGTCAAGAAACTCACGTACATGGCCATTCAACAGCCTCATTTAGAAAAATCCTGATTAAAAAAAATTAAATATACAAAATTAGAAAATCTGGGAAGTAAACATTTTTATTATAAATAGAGTCATGCACTGCCTAAAGATATTTGGGTCAATGATGAACTGAATTATACATACAACAGTGGTACCATAAGATTATAATGGAGCTAAAAAATTCCTATCATCTAGTGACATGGTTGCTATTGAATCATCCTAGGAAAACACAATTATTCACGTTTGTGGCAATGATGGTGTAAACAAACTTACTGCACTGCCAGTCATATAAAAAAGTATAGCATATACAATTATGTTCAGTACATAATACTTCATGATGATGATAAACGATGTTACTGGTTTACATATTTACCGTACTATTATCAGTACTTTAGAGTGTACTCTTTTTACTTACAAAAACAAAGTTTGCTCTAAAACAGTATGCTGTGCTATGAGAGCTGCAGCCTCATAACTCTCCTGATTACTGCATCTCTTCACTGCATCATTCTCCCTTGTGTTTGACTTAATGTCAGTTTTGCACAGTAACCTGCTACCCAGGCTTTTAGGCTCTAACTATAGGCTGCACCATGCGGCCGAGGTGCGCAGTAGGCTATCCAGTCTAGGTTTGTTCACCTGCACTCCAGGATGCTCACACAACAATGAAATCAGCTAATGACTCATTTCCCAGAATGTACCCCAGTTGTTAAGCAGCACATAGCTGTAGATTAAAGTACATTCACGAAGCGTGTCTTTTATATGACAAGTGAAATTATGCTGTTAAAATCGGAAACATTTCCACGCTTGCTCACAAATCTACAAAATATTTTTGGAACATATTTATTGTGCAAATATGGATGCCTATTGATGCTGAGGAGCTGCAAAAGTGAATACAATGGCAAGGCTGTGTGTTCTACACACTGTAAGTTCTTTAAAGTCAAAGACTGGGCCATATTTATTTGCCTTGATGCGATCTGTCAAGACAGAAGCGGTGAAAGATTAAGAATGAGTGAATGAGATAGATGAGTAAAGTTTTCACATCGGAGATGAGCTTAGTAGAGTTCTAAGAAGGGGAAAAAAAGAAGGCGTCTAGGATGTTGCATGCAGAGTGAGGTTGGTTGGTCTCAGTGGTGTCCGAATATTCACAGGAAGAAGGTTTGGCATTTTCAGCAAGACTAAGGAAGCTCCTGGTTTGGTGCAGTAGGGGTAGGTCCTGCCCGAGCATCCCCTCAGTGCTCAGTAGATGACCTTGGAAGGTCAGAAAGGGCAACTCCTTTAAAAAAGAGGCATTGGAGACTCCACCCTATATCAGCATATACCTTAAAGGTATATGCTTCTTTCCAGGCCCTTCTAGAGCACCCTTCCTGGCAGATTTATTTGCATTGACTAAACCAGAGATTGGGTGATATTACTGATTTGTTTGATGGCAGTTTAATGCAGCCCGACTAGAACGTACGCTTTACAGGACAGGGACTTTGTGTTTTCACTACCACAGGCCCAGCTTCCTGGAACAGTGTCTGCTACAACAGGCATTCAATAAATACAGTACTTGTTAAATGAATGAACGCTGTTATTATTTTGGCCGTTTGTCTTTCCTTTTGCTTTACCCGCCTTACTTCAGAGAGCTGGACACTAGAGGGAAATCTTTGAATTCCACTTTCCATTCTTCCTTTGGCCCAGAAACCCTGGCCAAGCCCTTTGGGAATGGGGATCCCCTTGGAATTTAATGACGAGTCACGGCCACAGGGGGCAGGGGCAGAGGCAGAGTTGCAGAAAGTGCTTCTTCACGTCTTTTTGCCTTTGTTGCACCCTTCACCACCCATCTTGCTCTTTATTGGGGTTTAGGGGCGTCCTGCGGAAAGGAAGCGGGGGGGGGCACTGCCCTGACAGTATTCCTCTCCCCGGCCCTTGGGGTCTTGTCTTTAGGAGCCCTCCTGCAGCCCCTGAGTGTGCCGCCACCTGTAGCACCGCCGCTTGGCGGCCCTACCCGGTGCGAGCGGACGCGACCCCGAGGTGCCCCTCCGGGTGGCG